GCTGGAACTAGAGACGGGAGCTCACTCCGTCATGCGGCACCCGGGTCTCGAACTGCTGAACTACTGACCTTCCACAGCCTGCAGCTCAGTGTCATAACCACTTGAGCCACCGCACGGTATCCCGCAGTGTAGGTTCCAGCATTTTATTAGGATTTATTAGGTGGACAGGTTGAGGGTTTTACTGTTTGCTGTTTTAATTATGTATTGTAAACCGCCTTGAGCCACAGGGAAAGGCGAGATATAAATGTTTTACATTAAAAAAAAATACTTTAAAAGTCACTGATAAGGGGAGCCACTTTGGTGCCATCCACAGAAGTGCACTGTCCCCATTACAGAATTTTAATATATTTGCCCTCAGAAACTCTGTGGAGAAAAACCAGGCCTCTGAACGACTAGAAGATGTGTAGACTTTAGGGGAGGGGACTGTGGCTCGGTGGAAGAGCATCTGGTTGGTGTGCAGAAGGTTCAAACCCCGGCGTCTCCAGGTAAGGAGCAGGCAGTACGTGATGGGAAAGACCTCCACCTGAGATCCTGGGGAACTGCTGCTGATCTGAGGAAACAACACTGACCTTGATGGGCCAAGGGTCGTGTTTACCGTGAGGCAAATTCATGTAACGTGTGATTATCCATTCAGGAATCATAAACGCTATCCTCTCTTTTTTGCCTTTCTGTCTGAGCAGGAGATTGGACATTGGGGCACCTGGCTCCATTGTTCTGTTATAGTGAAGACAGACGTACCATTTTAAGAGCAACTGGGATGCTATGAAATTGCCATCTGTGATCTACATGTACATTTCCCCCCCTTCCCTCCCGTCCCATTGCAGGCTCTGAACAAACCAGTTCTGCAGGGTTTCGGTGTGGTTCAGACAGAAGGGTGGGAAAGCCTTTCTGAGATGAGAGATAAATGCTGATTCCCAAATCGGCTGCATTTAGCTGCTAGGTGGCGCCCTCGACACCACAATAACCAAGCTGCACTCTGCTCCCCACACTAACCCTGGAGCGGTTCTGCAGCGGCTTTTAAAAAAAAAACTTTTGCATTTTAGACCGGAAGGCCTGGCGTGATCTGGTCCATGGGGTCGCAAAGAGTTGGACTCGACTGTGCGACTGAACAACAACAAATGCCAAAGAACGATTCCTGCTTAAGAAGAAGAAGAGATTGGATTTATACCCCGCCCTTCACTTGGAGTCTCAGAGCGGCTTACAAACTCCTTTCCCTTCCCCTTCTCACACCAGACACCCTGTGAGGTGGGTGGGGCTGAGAGAACTCTGACACAAACTGCTCTTTCGGGAACAGCTGTACCAGAGCTTGTGACTGACCCAAGGTCACATCAGCAGGTGCAAGTGGAGGAGTGGGGAATCAAACCCAGTTCTCCCAGATTAGAGTCTGCCCACTTAACCACTACACCAAACTGGCTCTCCTTACAAGACCATTTTCAAAGGTCCCTGCTTCAATCCCCCCAGATGTGTGTGTCAGCGGCAAAAAGCAGCTGTGGGTGGGAAGGGGGGATTAGGACCCAGGTGGAAATCATCAATGTTCCCTCTAAGCTATGGAGCCCTGTAAGCAAAAATTCTACTTTGTGAGTTACTGGCATTAAAGTTGTGAGCAGGTGAATTGACTGCTGCATAAGTTATTTTGCTCTGGAGCCCTCCTTCCTGAGCTAAGACAATAATGTGTGAGCCGGAGGCTAAAAAACTGTGAGCTAGCTCACATTAACTCAGCTTGGAGGGAACACTGGAAATCATCCAGGCTGTTTTAACCATAGGAAGGGGAAAAAAGACAGGCCTTCTCTTGTGCCTGTCTTTTTACCCTCTGATGGGAGGAGATTTCTAACTGGGAAATGGCATACTTGTGCCCCCCACACTTCCTCAGATACATTGAAATGGAAGGACAAATTTAGCGTGGTTGGTCTTAAAGGGGCCACTGGACTCTAAATCTGTTCTGCTGATTTAGACCAACATGGCTGCCACCACCTGGAAATATTGAAATGGAAGGTAGCAGTAACCGAACAGTTACCTTCCATTTCGATGTATCTGAGGAAGTGTGTCGTGCACACGGAAGCTCATGCCTTGAATTAAACTTTGTTGGCCTTAGAGGTGCCCCCACCGGACTCCAACTTTGTTCTGCTGCTTCAAACCAAGACGGCTGCCCCCACCTGGCTCTACCTTCTGTCAGGGTGCTTGACACCTGGCTGGTTCCAGGAAGAAAACAAATGGCCAAAGGTGGCAGACGCCAACAGGAAAAGAATCGGGTCGGACTAGGAACTCACCCTTCGCCTCAAGAGGGTCAGAAGAACTGCGACGAGGACCCCAAGGAGAAAGAGGAAGGCCGTCAGTCCGTAAGTGACCTTCCCAGGCGTCACATTTTGCTGTGGACTAGCCACTTGGGCACCTGCAAATGAAGGCTGCAGTTAGATTGGCCTGCAGTGGAATGAGCAGATCGGAAAGCAATAAAGCTTGGCTGTCTTGGGGGTGGTGGTGGTGAAGAATCCACCCTCCCTCCAGCCTGTTTTCCGGTAGGGGGAGACAAAGCTGCTCAGCTGACTGGATCTTCCGTCTGTCTCAGTTCCCCTGTCTCTACTCCCCTAGACCTGTCTCTCTGAATCGCTGCTGCCGTAGAGTCGCCAACTTCCAGGCGGGGCCTGGATAGGGATGCCGGTCTCCAGGTGGGACCTGGGGATTCCCTTGGGATTACAGCTCCTCTCCAGACTACAGTGATCAATTCACCTGGCGTTAAACCCTGCTGGTCTTATCCCCTGGTGAGATCCCTCCCCTCCCCAAACCCTGCCCTCCCCAGGTTCTTCTCTCCCAAATGTCCAGGGATATACGTGACCCTACTCCACATGGGGCTGGAGATCTCCTGCAGTTACAACTGATCTCCCGGCTACATGAATCACTTATTGTTTGTTTGTTTGTTTAGAACATTTATTCTGCTTCTCTGTCAGCTATGCTGCCGTGGGGGTTGGGATGTTCTTTCAGTGTCTGTGTAAATTGCTTTCACATTCCTTTCTCTCTGCTTGGCGCTGAAATGCTTATCTCTAAAGAAGTACAGGTGGCGACGTATGTTGTCTGCTGTCCAGGCCGACCGTGGGAGCAGAACACTTCCCAGCTTCACATAGTAACGCTTGTCGGCTCGCCCGGGCGCGGGAGGGGTGCTAGTTGGCCGGGGGGGGGGGGGGGGGGTGCATACGAATGCCCTATATCTTATTAGGTTCAATAGGCAACGATTATTCTTAACAGTGACTATGTTAATGCATGTATGGCTCTTCAATAAAAGTATAGCCTTTCTAAGAAGTGTGTACTCCGTTGTTGGCTGTGGGTTCTGACATTCTCCCAGAGGAAATGGCAGCTTTGGGAAATGGACTGCATGGCATTATACCCCACCCGGGTCCCTGCCCTCTCCTGTCCCCGGCTCTCCCCGGCTCCGTCCTCAAATCTCCAGGTGCTTCTGAACCCACAGTTGGAAGCCCCATGGCACCAACGCCATCTCATAGGGTTGCCAGTGTGGTGTATTCAATGCAAGGCAAACTGTATGTGAATCCCCCTATTGAAACACCATGTGAAGCTTTGTCCTGGGCTAGGATCCAAATCCCTCCAATCATATTGGTAGCTCAGGAAGAACCAGCCAATCAAGTACCAGCAAGCTCCCTGAGCGGGTACTAATGTGATTGGACCTTAACTCTACAACCTCATAGGTTGATATTGTACAATAGGGTGTGGCTACATTAGCCAGGGGAGTTTAAAAGTGGAACAGCTTCAATGCTAAAGCTGTTCTGGCTATCAGATGTTGATCTGTGTCGGAGTTGTGTTGAGTTGCTGAATAAAGCTGATCTTTTGCTGAATCACTCTCCGACTATTCTGTTAAGTGGGCGACTTAACAGCCAGGTACCCCCTGGCCATCAATGGAGGGTGAGGGGGCACAGTTGCCAGATCTGAGTTGGGAAACTCCTGTGGGTATGGGGATGGAGCCTGGGGAGGACAGGGGCCTCAGTGGGGCACAGTGCCATAGAGCCCACCCTCCAAAGTTTCCATCTTCTCCAGGGGGACTGATCTCTGCAGTCTAGAGATGAGCTGTAATCCCAGGAGATCCCCAGGTCCCACCTGGAGGCTGGCATCCCTAACCTGGAGGTTGGCAATCTGAGTAGGTGGTGGCAGTCAAAGAAACGTGGGGATTGGGAGATTCATATCAATGGTTCCCCACCCCCAGGAATTGGCCCTGTAGCATGGGGACTGCTGCTTCCCCACCCCCAAGGGCTATAGGTGCACAGAGATTATCAAAACCAGAGACGGAAGGGACTCTGTCTTTCCATTGCCCCAATGAATCACACAGTGAAACCTGGCTGGGTTTAGCTGTTGTAGGGACGCTGGGCGTCTTGCAGCCCCATTCTCACTTTGACTCAGAGGTCCACGGGACATTTTTCCAGTGTGTAGGACTACCGCCTACACCTAGACAAGAGGTCCTCAACGTGACACCCGCCAGCACGTATCTGAATCCCGCCAAGTGGTTTTAAGACGGGGGCGGGACCAGGTAGGGCTTTATGCCCAGAAAGGCTTCTGCTTGGCTATTGGAGGCTTGATTGACTCTGCAGATTTTTTAAAATGTTGCTTTGGGCCGTGACCCGGATAGCCCAGGGCAAGCCCGATCTCATCAGATCTCAGAAGCTAAGCAGGGGTGAGTCTGGCAAGTATTTGGATGGGAGACCTGCAAGGAATGCCAGTAGTCGGGAGATGGGGGCAGGCTTTATTCAGCCACCTCTCTGGATATCCTCTAGGCCCCCAGTAGGGGTCAGTCACCAGAGGTCGCCATGACTTCCAGGTGCGCGCACACACACACACACACACATGCAAATATAAAAATACTAGGGAAAAATACAGCAAAATAGAACAAATGTTGCTTTGGCAGCAGCTGCCGCCACAGCACAAGAATCAGCACTGTGTTACTATAGTTAAGCCGCAGTGTCTGTTTTGTGGCTGGCCCCGCCTCCTGCAGCCGCCATACCGTGTCAGGATTCCAAAGGCGCCTGCTGGCTCAGAAAGTTTGGGGACCCCTGACCTGGTTGGACAAAGAGGCTTGCATCAAGTTCCGGATCAAGAAAGCAGGAAAGAGTACCTGCGATTTCCAGGTGATACTGCACTGACCCCAGCATCCCTTCTGCGCTGTGGACGCTGCACTCCCAGACTCCGGCATCCTCGGGTGACACCTTGGAGAACTCCCGGAACCAGCCGGAGCTCAAGCGCTCGGAGGTAGCCTCAGACCTATTGGCAAGGCCTGAACCCAACCACTTCCACTGAAAATACGCCTTTCCTGGGGGGTGGCTTAGATGACAGGCGAGCAGCAGGTGAGATCCTTCCCAGACTGGCCCCTCAGTGCTTGGGATGACTGCGGGGGGGGGGGGGGGGGGAGAAAAAAAGACTTTGATTATACGAGAGGGTAAGTTCCATGCAAACTCACACCCTTCCCCTGCATATCATTTTTCTCGTTAAAAGTGAGACCGTCCCTGGTTTCCACACACTGGTGCCTGGCATCTGATACAACCCAGGCCAATTTTTAGCTGATGTGTCCCTTGCCACTTAACGGATTGATGGATTAATTAACCAATTTCATTTACGTGCTTTTTTGACAGTGTGGAAATTTCAGTATAGGGAAGATGCTTTTAAAGGAAGGTTGAGGTAACGTAGCATTTAGTTTAAGACATCTGCTTGCTGTTAAAAAGGCCATCTTTAATATTTAATTCCCTATTACTTGGCCAGGAGGGCGGGATAAAAATCTAATAATCAATCAATCAATAAATAAAATAACAAGGGAGGGAAGGTGGCGCGGTATGACTCAATCTCATCAGATCTCAGAAGCTGAGCAGGGTTGGTACGTGGAAGGGAGACCACCAAGGAAGGCTCTGCAGAGGAAGGCGATGGCAAACTGCCTCTGCTTCTCGCTTGCCTTGAAAACCCCTTGCTGGGGTTGTCATAAATTGGCTGCAAGTTCATGACACTTTATATACACGCTGTATAGATTCAATCCTCCCCAGGCCAATCCAGGAATGGAAGGGAAAGAATTCTACACTGGAACCATACATCGCACAAGAACCCAGGAGAGATAGCCTCTCTGGATTTACAGCCACAGCCACCAGGATCTCTAGATTAATCCCTCACCAGCCTGAGATTAGAGATCCCAGAATCTCAGTTGGCATGTGGATTTTACACACTACAACTCTGTCCAGAGCTGTACAGTTAATCTTAGCAAGGTAGCATAATTGGTGAGCAGTTCAGACAACAGGATTTAGCTTGGAGTCTACACGCATTAACACATGAAACCCCAGACAGCCTTAAAATTAACCTGCCACCCCCACCTAATTTGCAACTTCATTGGTTAAAATTAAACCCTAATGAAATCAAAATTCATTCAATGTAAGCTTTGGAGGAGTGAATCTATTGATTAATTTTGCACTGCAGCCAATGTGATGCTTTCTTTGGAAGGAGGAGGTGATTGGATTTATACCCCACCCTCCACTTGGAGTCTCAGAGCGGTTTACCATCTCCTTTCCCTTCCCCTCCCCACAACAGACACCCTGTGAGGTAGGTGGGGCTGAGAGAGCTCTTTCGAGGACTGCTCTTGAGAGAACAGCTCTCAGAGACCTTGTGAGTGACCCAAGGTCACACCAGCAGCTACATGTGGAGGAGCGGGGAATCAAACTCGGTTCTCCCGGAGTAGAGTTCACTTTCTTAACCACTATGCCGAACTAGAATATGCCTAAGGACCATTTACACTGAACTGCCTTCGCTAAAGGGAGGAATTCCTACTGGGAACAAAAGGCAGGAAGGAAAAGGAACTTGTGGGAGAGGAAAAAAACAAACCTTGCACAGTTGTCTGACTAAATGTATTGAGGCCAGATCTAAACCATGACTCGCCCAGAAGGTCATGGGCAATGTTCCCTCTAAGCTGTGGAGTCTTGTGAGCAAAAATTCTGCTTTGTGAGCTGCTGGCATTAAAGTTGTGAGCGAGCGATTTGGCTACTGCATAAATCAGTTTGCCCTTCCTGAGCCATGACAAGAATTTGTGAGCCGGAGGCTAAAAAACGGTGAGCTAGCTCACGCTAACTCAGCTTAGAGGGTCATGGGATCTGCCAGAGAAATGAGGATCAGAGAAAGAGCCGAACCAGCTCTCAAACAGAAAAGAAAATGATTGAAACATGTCAGGGTGAAAGTACAGATGTACTAGAAGTAGCTGGTGTGGGACACAAGAAAGAGAGATCTACAAATCAGCTTTGCACGGCTCTGAACTCATGAGGAGGACTCAAAGGGAACAGAATGGACGTGACAAAGAGCATGGATCTCTAATCAGGGGTGCCAGCCTACCAGATGGGACCTGGGGATCGCCCAGAATTACAGCTCATCTCCAGACTACAGAGATCAGTTCCCCTGGAGAAAATGGATGATTTGGAGGGCGGACTCTATGGCACTGTACCCCACTGAGGTTCCTGTCCTCCCCAGGCTCCACCCCCAAATCTCCAGGAGCTTCCCAGCCTGGATCTGGCAACCCTGCCCCCCCCGTTCCCACCGGTAGCTGGGGGGACCTGGCAACCCCTTCATCTATAAATAGCAAAGCCAAGCATGCAAGATTTCAGTTTGGATTGGGACCATGGGGGGAAGGGTTGAGCAATTTTAATCCTTCATCCCTGGCATGATTTTGCTAATTGAAACTGGAGTCCTGCCTATGTTTTTACTAGCATTTTGAAGGGAAACCATCAGTTTTTATAAGGTATCTGTGTTTCTTTCCTTTCAAGTGCTAATAACGGCACGGTGGCTGTGGCTTTGTTGAGTGAATCTGTGCGGGGCTGAAGGGTTAACCCCCTCCCTGTACAGTCTCGGTCCTAATCAGGGCTGCACACCTTTGCAATATGGGGATAATAACCCTGGCCCGCCACACAGGGTTGTTGTAAGGATCACAAGATTGTACTTTTGAAGTGTTCTGACAACTCCAAAGTGCTAATGATAATAATAAATGATAATCATCAGCATTATGATTAATCAGTATGTTGCCAGGACATTTCAGAACAACCCAGCATCTCTGCATCGGGATAAATCTCCAAAAATACATTCCCATACATTTTTAGACACTGGGCAGGGAGCCATCAAGAGTTCATGTACCTTCTGTGGGCTTTCGCGACCGAACTGCAAATGGGCCACATTCAGACGGCGCAAATCCCATAACCCTAATGTAGGGATGTCAAAATGGAAAGTCACCATGCACGCCCCCACCAGCCTGCCCAACACAATCCCCTTCCTTTGTTTTTGCGATCAAAGGCAGGCAGAATGTCGCACAGTCGACTAGTCATAAGAACATCAGAAGAGCCCTGCTGGACCAGACCAGCGGTCCATCTAGTCCAGCATCCTGTCTCACACAGTGGCCAGCCAGTTCCTCTTCACAGCCGGCAATAGGGCATAGAGGCGGAGGCGTTCCCCTGATGTTGCCTCCTGGCACTTGGATCCAGGGGTTTACTGCCTCTGAACGTGGAAGTTCCCTTTGCTCACCATGGCTAGCGGCCACTGGTAGACCTATCCTCCATGAACCTGTCTAATCTCTTTTTAAAGCCTTCCGTGCCCGTGACCATCACTACATCCTCTGGCAGCAAATTCCACATTTTAATCACTCTCTGTGTAAAGTGGTGTTTCCTTTTGCCCATCCTAAACCTACTGCCCATCAGCTTCGTTGACTGCCCTCGAGTTCCAGCATTTTGGGAGAGGGAGAAAAATTTCTTTTTGTCAACTCTCCCCACCCCATGCATAATTTTATAAGTTCAAATAACGGGATGGATCCGAGAGAAGTTTCCAAACACTGAAGGGATTTCCATTAGTGGGGCATGACTTCCTTTCCTCCCCTATCCTGCTGCCGCTCCAAATGCAGTTCCTGGGTGACATTCTACCAGCATTTGGGGTGGGGAATCGGGTCCCTGCCATCAGAGGGAGAACTGGCAAAAATCCCCTGTTCCAACCACAGAAATGTGTTTCAGGATCCAACCTCCCCAGATCCGTCCTCGTGAAAAATTCTACTCCTATGCAGCTTCTTGGGGGTGTGAAGTGCCCTGACTCCCAACCTGCAGGGACCCGGCAACCCGCAGCCAAGCTTATGGTGGCCGCATAGGGTGTTCACAGCAGGATATGTACAGAGATGGTTTGCCATTGCCTGCGTCTATGCGGTGACCTCAGACTTCTTGGGTGGTCTCCCATCAAAGTACTAACTGAGGCCAACCCTGCTTAGCTTCCGAGACCTGACAAGCGTCACCTAGCCTGAGCCACCCAGGTCAGGGAATGCAACTCCTGAGCGAATCGGAATTCCAAGTCGTTATAACCACAAACAGCCCACTTCACCCAGACCATTATTTTTGAAAACGAACGCTTAAATTTTTCATTGAAAATTGATTCCGATGGGATGCTGAGCTGCTTTCCTACCCTAATATGCGGCTGCATGTGCAAAAGAAAGAATCTACAATGACCAGGGGGCAACACCAACCGTACGTATGCCAAACAGTGTCACAGCAGACCGTTTTACCTGGCACCCCGGCTGAGCCTGAATTTCTGGCAGCACCGGTGGGGCTCAGCTCTCTTCCAGTTTGCCTGGCCAAGTACTTCCCTCATCTTCCCCACCACCACCTCTTTCTTTGTTGGTACACCAACATCTTCAAGGGTAGGCACTATATGGGGGGGGGGGGTATGCATACCAAAAGGGCTGTTTGTCCATGGTGAAGACAGTCCTATGCTGAATGCTCTGACGTGACATATTGCCTGCACTGAGAACGGCCAAATCAAGTTGGGGGGACAGGGGCTTTTCAGTCATTACCGATTTTGGTGTTCAAATCGCACATAAGGGGAGATCGGCCAACCTATGATCCTCCGAATACATGTGGATACCATTTTGTGGGAACAGGCCAATGTCTGTATTTTCCAGCTTCAATACATGCAAACACATTCTCCCCCAAAGATCCTCCCAATATATGTAAACACCATTTTGTGGGAACAGGCCAATGCCTGTATTTTCTAGCTTCAACGCAGGCAAACACATTCTCCTCAAAAGATCCTCCCAATACATGTGGACGCCATTTTGTGGGAACAGGTCAATGCCTGTATTTTCTAGCTTCAACACAGGCAAACACATTCCCCTCAAAAGATCCCCCCAATACATGTGGACGCCATTTTGTGGGAACAGGCCAATGCCTGTATTTTCTAGCTTCAACGCAGGCAAACACATTCCCCTCAAAAGATCCTCCCGATACATGTGGACACCATTTTGTGGGAACAGGCCAATCCCTGTATTTTCCAGTTTCAATACAGGCAAACACATTCCCCTCAAAAGATCTGGTCATCCATGTGTGTACCGAAGCTGCCAAATATCCACATTGCTCTGTTTGCATAAAATGGTGACTGTATGTATCAGGTAGGGTTGCCAGGTCCCCCCCCCCCGGCCACCAGCAGGGGATGGGGGGCGTAGGGTTGCCAGGTCCAAGTTGGGAAACTCCTGGAGATTTGGGAATGGAGCCTGGGGAGGAGTGGGACCTCAATGAGGTACAATACCATAAAGTCCACCCTCCAAAGCATCCATTTTCTCCAGGGGGACTGATCTCTGTAGTCTGGAGATGAGCTGTAATTCCAGGTCCCACCTGGAGGCTGGCATCCCTAGCAGGAGAACTGTGGGCAGTGTGATCTCCCCTTCTATGTGGTTTGAGAATCCTAATAGATGACCCTGAATCCTCTGTGGAAAAACCCTTCCCATCCTATCAGATGCCCTTCTCACCTGTCATTACTACCAGAGTGACATTCCTGGAGATGGTGGTGCCGTTGATGGAGACCTCACAGAGATACTGGCCTGCACTATCAGGTCCCACAGCAGGGAGATGTAAGGTCCTATTGTTTTCTTGGTGGGAGTTAGACTTGGCCTTCAGGTCCTCTCCTGCCACGTGGCTCCAACGGGTGGCTACCTTTGAGTTGTCGTAGTCCATGGGATTGATATTCAGTTCACAGGGCAAGTAAGCGTTGGATCCTGCTGCGGCGTAGACTACAGGAAAGGTTGGCCCAGCAAATCCTGCATGTGGGAGCAGAAAGAGGGCCCAAAGTATTAGACAGAGTCAGTGTGGATCCCACAGACCCGAGAATCTGAGGTGAAGATGTCTGTCTGTCAGCTCATCCAGAGAAGATGGAATCGAGAAAGGAGCAGAGTCTTGTGGCTCCAAATGAAACAATCCACGCTTTGGAGGAACGTGAGGTGGAGGCCAACGTCTTACCTAAGACTTGAAGGTGGTGTGTGGCAGAAACTCGCTCGCCACCTGCATAGGTGAGTTCACAGATCCAGGGCCCAGAGTCACTACCCATTGATCTGGAGATAAACAGAGACTGCTCTGCAACCCGGAAACGACCAGATGTGGTGATGAGGTGACCGGCGCGGAACCAGAGTATCTTTATGGGTTTTTCTGGAAGTGTGGAGTTGCAGGTTAGGTTAATGGGCTCAGACTCAACCAACGGACCAAGTGGGTTTGCAGTCACTGTGGGGAGGAAAAGAGAATTAAACATAAGACTTACTGGGCTTGCCAACCTCCAGCTGGGGCCTGGAATTCTCCTGGAAATGGCAGCTGAGGTAACTTCTTCTCTCCAAACCCCACCCCCAAATCTCCACGAATTCCACCAACCTGGAGATGGCAGCCCCAGCCTCAAGCCCCATCCTATTTCTAGCCCAACCACCCATTCCTTTCTGAGGCAATCTGAATGAAGGACTGTGGTCCCTGCCACACGGCAGGGAAACGGAGGGCTGATCTGCGGCAAATGTGAGCCGCAGCAAAGTTGGGACGGCGCGGCAGGATCTCACAGATCCCCCGAGCCGCGTCGCAACGCTCCCCGGCACGATCAGATGCCGGGGAGAATGCGACGGTGGGAAGGGGAGCCTGGCGAACTGCGCATGCTCACACATGCGCAGTTCGGCCAGGAGCCGGGGATGCGCTGGCGCAAGGACGCGCCGGCGATCCCACGGCCAGCGTTGCTGCGGCCCTTCAGAAAGAACCACCTCGGGAGGTGGTTCTTTTTCGCCGCGGAGCAACGCTGGAAGGGACGGAACCGGGACGGATCCGGCACACTCCCCAGATGTTGCGGTGGGATCGCGCCGGTTTGCTCCGCCCCCGTTCCGTCCCGCTCCCGGAACAAATGGGCTAGTATGAACAGGGCCTACGTTTCCCAAATTGGATACCAAACCATGAGCTGGTTAGGAAGCTCAGCCGAAATAACCTTGACTGACTCACGGCACACTCCCAAAGTCACAGTTAATGCTGCCACTTCTGTTACCTGGGGAAAGGTTATTTTTAATCTACAGATGCTTGGTGGCGGAAAGTACAGAAGGTGAGAACAAAATGCTTGTAGATTGAGGTGACCCCATAGGATTTTCAAGGCAAGAGATGAACAGAGGTGGTTTGCCATTGCCTGCCTCTGTACAGTGACCCTGGACTTCCTTGAGGGTCTCTTATCCAAATACGAACCAGGGCCGACCCTGCGTAGCTTCTGAGACCTGATGAGATTGGGCTACCTGGGACCATTTAGGTCCATACATGCTTACTCATTTCCAGGGCCTTCTTTTGTAGAAAAAGCCCAGCAGGAACTCATTAGCATAATTGGCCACACCCAACTGCAGAAACTCATTAGCATATCAGGCCACACCCCATGCCTTCCCTTGGCTTGCCCGGGCAAGCCGGCCCTTGGAGGGGAGGGGAGGCAGTTTAAACTGCCTTCCCTTGGCTTGCCTGGGTGCCCCGCAGCTGCGGGGAGCTTGGGCAAGCCCCCCTTTGAAGGGAAGGGAAGGCAGTTTAAAGGCTTGCCCAGGTGCCCCTTGGACAGGCCGGGGAAGGCACGGGAAGGCATTTAAATGCCTCCCTGATCCTTCCAGGGGCCCCCTGGCCCACCCACCTCAAAGTCGCTGGGGGGGTTGATCTCCAAGCCTTCCCCTCTGTAGCCACACACACACACACAGAGGTTTTGGCTGTAGTGGGTGTGGCCATTCCTGTGCGTTCCTGCCCCAAAATAGCCCTGCTCATTTCAATGCCCACAACTTTAACATTCCCTAAGGAGCTACTTTTTAAAAACCTAACTAGCTACCAAACCACACTCCAGATTCCGCAGGTAGCTCCCCAGAAGGCCTCGACCCAACAGGACAGATCCCTTGCATGTATCGACCCACATACCTGACGCCACATCAAGTCTCAGCTCGCAGCGGTGCACCTTGCTGCCGTATTTCACTCGTGCCGTGTATCTCCCCACGTCGTCATTCGATGCGGGCTCGATCCGAAGTGAGAAATTCCCATGGAGAAAGTCCCGGTCTTGCACTGACGCGCGGGACATCATGGAACGAGCCTTTATTTTGAGACCACTGGGGGCCACTTGGAGCACCATGTGATGCACCTGGAGGGAACTGGAGGGGACAAGAGAGAGCTTGTGTTAGTCTGGAGGGGGCACAAACTGGGGAAGGGGTTAGAAGAGAAGTGGGCAAGACGGTGTTCCACTGGATGGGAGAATTGTGAACCAGAAGGAATGAACTGGGAGGAAAATATTGCGAAAGGTCCGTCTGAGGTAATAACGGGTCCCTCCTCTTACCTGCCCCCCCGGTGCTCCCATCGAACCGACAGTCTCTTGTACACCTCTCCTAAGTTGTTGCTCTCCAGGTAACAGGGAAGGACCACCCGGCCCCCTTCTTCAGCCCATACCCTCTGCTCTTCTCCTGCTTCGGAAGAAACATTTCTAGCTGCAACAGGAACATAGATCCAAACAAAGAAAGGATAAGGTAAATAGGAAAAGGTTTGCATGCCTCAATCTAGCCTCACAGCCAATATTCCCTCTAAGCTGTGGAGTCTTGTGAGCAAAAATTCAACTTTGTGAACTACTGGCATTCAAATTGTGAGCAAGCGATTTGGCTACTGCATAAATCAGTTTGCTCTGGAGCCCTCCTTCCTGAGCTAAGACAAAAATGGGTGAGCCGGAGGCTAAAAAACTATGAGCTAGCTCACACTAACTCAGCTTAGAGGGAAAACTGCTCACAGCGTGGTCGTGAGGTAAAATGTCGGGATAGGGTTTGGATGGCTACCATAAGAGTGCAGAGCGAAACTGGAGAAGAGACTCAAGTGACCGGGAAAGGTTCAGAAATTAGGGCTTCCCAACCTCCAGGCATGGCCTGGAGATCTCCTGGACTCACAACTAATGTTCCCTCTAAGCTGTGGAGTCTTGTGAGCAAAAATTTTACTTTATGAGCTACTGGCATTAAAGTTGTGAGCAAGTGATTTGGGTACTGCATAAATTAATTTGCTCTAGAGCCATCCTTACTGAGCTAAGACAAAAATGTGTGAGCCAGAGGCTAAAAAACTGTGAGCTAGCTCACACTAACTCAGCTTAGAGGGAACACTGCTCACAACTGATTCCCCAAACTACAGGCATCAATTCCTCTGGAGAAAATGGCTGCTTTGGTGGGTGAACTGTGTGGCATTATGCCCCACTAAGGTCCCTTCCCCAAACTCTGCCTTCCCCAGTCTCCATCCCCCAAATCTCCAGGTATGTCCCAGCCTGGAGTTGGCAACCCTAACTTCAGATGCCAACCATAGCAGAAGCCTACCTCTTCCCCCCCACACACATATCCCTGGCCATGCGCCACCCCTGTTCCTTACCGTTGGTCATCAGGAGACTGAAGGCAACAGACCAGGAAAGGAAGAACAGAGTGGTGACTGGGGCATCAAAGAGCCCACGATCTGAGCGCATCGTCCCCCACAACAGAGAGGGTTCAAAAGGCCCGGGACTGTCAAGAGGCAGGGAAACGGAGGAGGATCTCTGATCAAAGGCCTGGCTGGGTCACCCTTTTATGCCAGGGGGCTGCTGGTTTCCTGACAGGGCCGAGGTGAGACACGTCACAGCCGAGAAGTCAGCCCCGACTGAAACATGTGCAGGAAGACCGAGAGAAGGCTCACAGTTTCTCACAGTGGAAACTGTCTCATTCTGTCCACTCGCGAAACAGTTGTTTTTCTTCATGTTTTTACTTAGAATGGAAAAATGTGCATAGAAACTCACCTCTCCGGAAGGCCCCCTCTGGTGTTTTGCTTTTATCTTTCTTTCTTTTCCCTTTTATGGCAATTTCTATCTCCATTCATCTGTCTTTGGCTTTTCAAAACACCTTGTTGACAAGATTTAAGGAGACAAAGAACATTCACAACACTGAAGCATTTATCTGGTGCGCTGAAGCATCTCGTGAGGTGCTCCAACATTCTGGTAAAACCAGCTTCACTGGTATATTTCTGTCTGGCACGCATTCGATCCTCTTCACTCAGAGGGTTCTCCCTCCCTCATTTTATCTTCACAATAATCTTGTGAGGTAGGTCAGGCTGAGAGGGTGTGGCTGGCTCAAGTCTACCCGGTAGGGATGCCAACCTCCAGGTGGGGCCTGAAGACCTCCCAGAATTACAATTGGTTTCCAGACGACAGCAATTGGTTCCCATGGGGAAAATGGCTACTTTGAAGAGTGGATTCTATGGCATTTTATTGCACTGAAGATCCTCTTCTCCCCTAACCAAGCCTTCCCCGGGATCCTCCCCCAAATCTCCAGGAATTTCCAGACCTGGACTTGGCAACTCTGCTACCTGAGCTAACTTCATGGCTCAGCAGAGGCTTGAACCCAGTTTTGGTCCATGAACACCACTCTAACTGCTACACTAAATGCGCTCAGAGGTCCCACTAGGTGGAGAAGAATAACTGAGATGCCTTCAGAACAAATTTAGAGTCCAGTGCAATGTTCCCTCTAAGCTGTGGAGTCTTGTGTGCAAAAACTCTACGTTGTGAGCTACTGGCATTAAAGCTGTGAGCAAGTGATTTGGCTACTGCATAAATTACTTTGCTCCGGAGCCATCCTTCCTGAGCTAAGACAAAAATGGGTGAGCTGGAGGCTAAAAAACTGTGAGCTAGCTCACACTAACTCAGCTTAGAGGGATCACTGGTCCAGTGGCACCTTTAAGACCAACAAAAATTTATTCAAGGTGTGAGCTTTCATGTGCAAAGCACACTTTTCCAAATACAGTGGAATGGAGATAAGGTTCTTCAAACTTATAGATGCCTTCAGAGACAGATCAGCAGTAAGCTGCTTGATTTTCCAGAATGTGCACAGTAGAGCAACCTACGCTTCATTGTATGAAAGATACATGGCCTATTGTTGCTTCTTTTCATCATAAGCAAAACTGGGTGCAGAAATGTTCATCAGGCCCAGGTGACTGGCAGGCACTGAATAAAAATGTCTCAGGGATGTGGCCACAGCTTGCCAGGTGACCCCCCCCCCCTCTTGCCTTCTTAAAAAAGTGTGTGATAGGCAGGCATTAAAGCCGAGAACATTGCTCTGTCCTCAAAAGTCTTTCCAGAGAAGATCGGCAAGAAGACTAATACAGTGGTGGAACTGGGGCTTCATGGAAGAGCCTCTGCTTCGCATGCAGAAGGTCCCGGGTTGGCTTGCTGGCATCTTCAGTTAAAAGGACCAGGCAGTGGGTGATGAGAAAGACCTCTTATCTGAGAACCTGGGGAGCAACTGCCCGTCTAATTCAGGGGCAATGCTCCCTCTAAGCTGTGGAGTCTTGTGAGCAAATATTCTACTTTGCGAGCTACTGGCATTAAAGCTGTGAGCGAGCCATTTGGCTCCTGCATGTTAGTTTGGTCTGGAGCCCTCCTTCCTGGGCTAAGACAAAAATGTGCGAGCCGGAGGCTAAGTAGACGGTCCTAACCTTACCTTGATGGACCGAGGCTCTGATTCAGTACGAGCGAGCTTCATGTGTTTTCAGTGCCCAGGTTCAGTCTCCATTGAAAAGGATCCAGTAGCAGCTGAGACGAAAGATCTTTACCTGTGAACCCCCCCCCCCCCGAGAACCACTGCTAGCAGGGGTCATTTCGTAGAAAAAGAGGGGCAGGAGCTCATTAGCATAACTCATTCGCATAACTTATTTGCATATGCCATACCTCCTGACATCACCGGAAGTGTGTCAGAAGGCAACACCCACCGCTCAGGCTCCACTGGACTCTTTTGGATTGCTAGCTATGGGGGGGGGGAACGTGCAGATCTGCCCTCGGAGAGGAGGGAGAGCTTGTACCTGAATAAACCTTGGTCTTAAAGGTGCCACTGGACTGTTTTGGATTGCTATCTGGGGGGGGGGGGCTCTGCAACTTACCTGGCTGCTTGTTGCTCTGACTGAGGGCTGCTGGGAGCAGGAGGTGGGGCTTGTTGCATGTGCCCGCCCCCTGGGCTCTTTACTGCCGGAGCTCAGCTCCTGTGCGCTCCTGCAGGAAATGACCCCTGGGTCAGAGTAGGCAAGATTGACCCTGATAAACCAAGGGTCTGATTCTGTACAAGACCCCTTTATGTATTCATGTGTCCCCTTGTCCCTCGGCAGCAGACGACTCAAAAGAAGTGATCCCAATTAGAATGCATTATTTCAGTCTAATGCATATATTGTTTATTATTCATTAGTGAATTAATTTGGTGTGACATATATAGTGCTGCTGACGGGAAGGGTTTTGAAAATGATTGGGTGGGCTGCGCTTGCTGGTGGGGAAGAAGCCTTGTCGCATTGCATACGCAGCAAGGAATCCCGGGGGGGGGGGGGGCCCCCCTGCCCCCCCCCACACCTGGGGGTCCACATACTCTGGCATGCTGATTCTTCTAGTAGTAGACATGCCCTTGTCATGTCTACAAACGGAGCACAGAAGCCCATACCTCCCTCTGTTGTTGTCCCCAGGCAGTTTGTATCCAAAGGTACAGTGCCTCTGAACATGGAGGTTCCATTTAGACACCATGGCTACCAACTATCAGTGGGCTCCTCCTCCATGAATCAGTCTAATTCCCCTTGAAAGACAACGGAGCTAGTGGCCATTGCTACATCCTGTGGCAGTGAGTTCCATAAGTTAATCCAGCATTTTGGGAAGAACCTTGTCTGGCCTGAATCTGCTGCCTATCTGCTTCATTAGGTATCGCAATTCTTCATCAGATACAGGAACTCTGAGTCTGAAAAGCTTATACCCAGAAAATCTTATTGGTCCCTAAGGTGCTACTGGACTCACATCTAGCTATAGTTTTTGACAAGAGATTAAAGCTCTCTTTTCCCCATGCATCAATTTATACACATCTATTATGTCTCCCTCTTGATTCTTTTTTTTTTTAACTGACAAGTGACCAGGGGTCATTTCCTGCAGGAGCGCACAGGAGCGGAGCTCCGGCAGTAAAGAGCCCAGGGGGCGGGCACATGCAACAAGCCCCACCCCCTGCTCCCAGCAGCCCTCAGTCAGAGCAAGAAGCAGCCAGGTAAGCTGCAGAGCTCCCTCTGGCCCCCAGTCAAAAACAGTCCAGTGGCACCTTTAAGACCAAGTTTTATTCAGGTACAAGCTCTCCCTCCTCTGCAAGAACAGATCTGCACGTTCCCCCCCCCCCCAATAGCTAGTAATCCAAAACAGTCCAGTGGAGCCTGAGAGGTGGGTGTTGCCTTCTGACAGGGGGTGTGGCATATGCTAATGAGATATGCTAATGAGCTCCTGAACCTCTTTTTCTAGGAAATGACCCCTGCAAGTGACTAACTCTTCCCTTTTCCTCAATCCAATCCCTCAATCATTCGGCCTGCCCTTTGGTATACCTTTTCCACTCTACAATATCCCTTTTAAGATGCAGCAACTGGAACTGTAGACAGTATTCCAAAAGGGGCCGTGTATTATTCATGCATTAATTAAAATATTTATATTCTATCTTTCCACTTGGTGCGAGGCAGCTTACAGTAACAATTAAAACACAACAACGGAACAACCAGATTCAATAACCGACCTCAAACCTCCCACACACGCCCAGAAAAGGAGGCCTGCGATGCATAGACCCTCAAAAGCCCTGGCAAACAGACAAGCTGCTATCGGTCAGCTGTTCTCAAACATTAGCATCTTAAAGATCTCCATTTTGTGTGAAAAGTGTTCATAGACACATTTACACACATGGCCCAAAGCCCTTCACTCCTCTAACTGCTGACACGCACCACACAGCCTCTTTTCCAAGTGTGTGTAGGCAAGCTGTGTATTCAATTCATAAGGACATCAGAAGAGCCCTGCTGGATCAGAGCAATGGTCCATCTACTCCAGCATCCTGTCTCACACAGTGGCCAACCAGTTCCTCTGGAGAGCCAACAACAGGGCACAGAGGCTGAGGCCTTCATAAGAACATAAGAAGAGACCTGCTGGATCAGTCCATTGGTCCATCTAGTCCAGCATCCTGCCTCACACAGTGGCCAACCAGTTCCTCTGGAGAGCCAACAACAGGGCACAGAGGCTGAGGCCTTCATAAGAACATCAGAAGAGCCCTGCTGGATCAGAGCAATGGTCCATCTACTCCAGCATCCTGTCTCACACAGTGGCCAACGAGTTCCTCTGGAGAGCCAACAACAGGGCACAGAGGCTGAGGCCTTCATAAGAACATAAGAAGAGACCTGCTGGATCAGTCCATCGGTCCATCTAGTCCAGCATCCTGCCTCACACAGGGGCCAACCAGTTCCTCTGGAGGGCCAACAACAGGGCATAGAGGCCGAGGACTTCCCCAGATGTTGCCTCCTGGCACAGGGATGCAGAGGATGACTGCCTCTGGAGGTTCCCTTTAGTCACCATGATCAGTAGCCATTGATGGTCTTGTATTCCACTAATCCCCTTTTAGAGCCATCTATGCCTGTGGACATTGTTATATCCTCTGGCAGCGAATTCCACAT